TATCTATCTATCTATCTATCTATCTATCTATCTATCTATCTATCTATCTACCTATCCGTCCATCCATCCATCCATCCATCCATCCATCTATCTATCTATCTATCTATCTATCTATCTATCTATCTATCTATGTGTGTGCTTGCATTGAGTGTATGTGCACCACATGGATGATGGTGCCAACATAAGCCATAAGAGGGAGTCAGATAACCTGGAACTGGAGTCACAGGTCATCCAGTGTGGGTTCTGTAAAATGGACCTGAAGGAACAATTTATCAAAAGTGCAATAAACACTCTCTTTTCAGAAACAAAATATAGATATCTTTATTTTCTTTTATGTGTACTGATGTTTGTTTTGCCTGTCTGTGTGTTCCTTGCTTGAAGTGACTGCCATAAGACGGCACTGGATCTTTTTGAACATGAGCTGTAGGTAGGGCAATGTTGATTCTAGAAATCTAATCAAGGACCTCTGTGAGAATAATGAATACTCTTAACCACTGATTCTTTTCTCTATTCTCATAGACTCTTCATGTGCTAGACTTTATTCTGGGTCATAAATTTTTATTCAAGTCCAAGGAACAAACACTGAAAGTGTTTTCTCTGATACTGGGTGACCATGTTTGCACATGACTTTGTTTTCTGATTAATAATCCTACATAATATTTACATAATAAAAATAGGGTAAAATAGAAGTACAATATTATATTAAATATAATAAATACAATGTAATATATAAAATGCATTATTAATACTTAATGAATAGCAGTAATAATAGCCTCATTGCTACATCAATTATTCTCTAGTATATAGTATTCCAGTGCATTAAGATAGAGCAAGGTACTTATTCTTTTCATATTAAGTTTGAGCTGTTTGTAGTTTTACTGCACTAAATAACACTAGCATGCCAAATGCTGGAAGTGACTGTTAATATATGATGCTTAAGTTCTTACCAGTTGAGAATACTACACAAATTATGAGCACATATGGAATTTACCGATATATTAGTTACACACAGGCTACACTATTATAATGAGGAGAAAGAAAGCTGGACATGTTGGTGCATAACTTTAAATTATCACTGAGGCGATAGAGGCAGACAGAATTCTGTGGCCAGGATATTCTACATATTAAGATCAAGGACCCACATAGAGAGACCCTGTATCAAAAATATGAATGAAAACCCTCCTCAAAAACAAAAACTAAAATCCAAAACATAAATGAGATTAGTAGTAGTGATAGTAATAATAATAATAATAATAATAAAGTGAGACCTAAAATATAGATGTTGATGTTATTACTACCATTTTCAATGTAATTTACATTGCTGTTTTGAACACTCTCATTGTAGCTTGGGATGGCTTAGAACTCACATGGTGGTAGCCCATGCTGGTCTTGGACTTGCAGCTTTCTTCCTCCCTCAGCCTCTGCAGTGTTGAGATTAGAAAGGTACCATTACATGCCTCAACAGAAATTTGTTCTTGCTCATCTAACTGTGTTGTGGGATATTTGATCACACTGTGTGAAGATGTCTAGGTTGTACCTCACACTCCTAAGGTACTTTCTAATTGCTTTAACAAAGAGACAAATGGGAAATAGCTAAGATAGGAGAAGATAGGCGTGGCTTTCGGGGAAGGAAAGGAATGCTAAGGAAGAATATGAGAGGCAGAGATCTGCCAGAAAGAGGTAGAAGATGTCAGATGCACAGTATGGAAGAGAGGTAAAGAGCCAAGTGGCAGAAAGTAGATTAATATAAATGGGTTAATTTTAGTCTTAAGAGCTAATTAGAAACAAGCCTAGGCTAAGGCCAAGCTTTTATTAGTAATAAAAAGTCTCCATGTCATTTTTGGAGAGAGCTGCAGTCCAAAGAAAGTTCAGCAACATAGGTGTTTAGTCATGGCAAATAGGATCTCTTTGCTCCAGTAAATGGTTTAGGCTTCTTCCAATTAACAGTGCTACCAGAGCCTAGAGGAGTGGACATGGCTACCTGTCTGAAACTGAGTCTTGATTAGGTTCATCTTCTGGCAAGAGAAAAACAGATACAAGGTTTTGAGATCCAAGTGTTCGCAGAACATATAAATTCTATGGAAGTAACTCATGTGGAACTGATGAGTTACAAGGCCATACCTTCCTTTATGGGAGGAAGGGAAATGTAGTCATTTTTCATAGCTAGACACCCTGATGGTCTGTTTTTGTAGCTAAAGTACTTCCTTGTGTCTTTTCTCTTACTGTGTGGACTTTGTTGATTGAAGTGTGCAAATGGAGGTGGGTTTTGATATTCCAAAAACTTATGCCAGGCCCAGTCTCTCTCCTACTCTCTCTCCCAGCTGTAACACCCGATTCTGTGTTACCCTTTCGGTACAGTTCGTGCGCCTCTGTACTGATCACGAGTTGGACCAAGGTCTGGAGATTGAAAGAAACACACAAGAGACCTGGGTCATTCGAAAGGAGATCAGCCAAATGCCACTTTATTCAGCTTTTTGCAAAACTAATATACTTTGGCTGCTGCAAAAGGATTATCTCCCAGGCAGGGGGGAATCTGGCTCCTGCAAGGATTTCCTCCCGGGCAGGTGGGAAATTACCATACCAAAGATGAAACAATGCCCTACAGCTAATCACCAGGCTAGGGCAGAGGGAGCACAGAAGCAAACAGGATGCTTAGCCGGCTGGCCAGAAACCATCCTCAATTATTCACCCCAAGGAGCAAGGGTAGACCGGGCCCTACATCCTGCCACATGCAGATGCCATGTGAGCTTTAATTTACTACTCCAGTGTAATGCTCACCTGCCTGCCTGTGACCCACCATTTCCCAATCCATAGTGAAACAAATCGTCTGAAGCCGTAAGCACATACTTTAAAAGTTTCCTTAGTCATGGCCTTTCATCACAATAATAGAACAGTAATTATGACATATTTATTGATTAGATGGGATCGTTTTCAGGTTATGGAATATCCATGTTCCCTGTATTGTTTTTTCTTCTCAATAATATATCATGGCTCCCAGCACTACTCAGACATCGTCAGTAGACCAAAACTGGTCAGCAGGCTGCTTGTCCCCAGTCTGCTGGAGGAGAACTTAAGTCATAACATTGAGTCCTTTATTTAGAAAGTCTTGATACAAATGAGCATGGGCTAAAGCAAACTGGGCTGATACTGCAGTGCAAGCTCCCAGGACAAAGAACAGAACTCCAGTCTTTGAGTGGTACCCATCTGTACTATCATCCTTCCACCATCATCCTCCTGATGGGATGCTCGTGGGCTTTCTCCTATTGCAAATCTCCATCACTTTCCTGTAACAAGGCAGCATACCTGTCAGATGAGATCATGGATGACATCGTAAATGGTTTTCATTAAGTAACACTGGGCAGCTGTGATAATACTGCTACTGTTTCATAGCATCAGAAGCTTCACACTGAATTATTGGTGAATTAACTTTCTTACTTTATGACTGACTCATCTCGAAGAAGTGTGCATTTGCATATATATGATTTTTTAAAAGCAAGGCCTTACTGTGCAGCCTAGTTGGCTCCAAAATCACCAAGATCTACCCATGCCTCACAAGTGTGGGTATTAAAGCAATGTTCCACTGAACCTGGAAAGCTACATATTTTCCACAACTTTATTTTTTTCTTTTTCTTCATTTTGTCCAGTTTGCTGTGCTACCAATGGAACCCAGGGTCTTTAACACAATAGGCAAGAGTTCAGCCAGCTACATCTTGATCCCAGTTCACACTATAACTTGAATATTTTAATAATTCCTTAGGAATATGATGGGACCCATATAGTCAATCTTCAGTCTTCAAAAGTGCTGTGAGTCTTCTGTGACTTGGAGACTTACAAGGAGGATGGCAGAATGATGAGGGAAGGTAACAGTCTGATAATGCAGTGATAATGGAAGGGTGGCCTTGAAGATGGAGCTGAAGAACCAGAGGGCTAAGCTGTGCCACAGATTACTCTAGGCAGGAAAGCCTCATGTAATTTGCCTCAACTTCCAAAGTGCTTGGACCAAGACTGCTCTTTACATCCATTTTCCCCTGTTAATAGTAATGTTTGTAACTAGTATGTTATAATTGTATGATGTATAGACGTATAAAAGGAGTGTTTGATAATGTTCTTTGGCCACTAAGAGTCTTACTGGACCAAGAAAAGTATGAAAACATTCAAACCTACAAATATATCAAATTGAGAACAAGAATGGAAACATGGAAACATAACCACCAAATACCCCAATTCTGCTAGCCCTGCATGTATGCAAATCCAGGTCTAGGCCCTTGATCTTAGTACAGTGATAATCCAAGAATGGACACTTGCATGTGAGTATTAATGAGCTCATGAGATGTCAGCCAAGCATTGCACTGTTTGCTCCTCTCCCATGTGATATCGTCCATACTCTGTATTGTACAATCCTTCTTGTTTTCATAAGCTAAATGAAGATGCTTCTAATTCACTGTGTATTTCTAGCCCTCACTGGAACTTGAGCAAAATGAGCATCTCTAGAAAAAAGGGACCTTCATGATAAAGCAAACGTGCTTACTTGGACAATCAATGTCTTTCTTTTTAATGCCCAGGATTTATCCCAGAGCTTTGCACACACTGGCATACAATACACCCCACCTGGGGATCATATTTGATCAACTGTTTTCTGTATCCACTCGTTGCATGCTCGCAGTGAACACTAGCATAGTAAAATCTCTGAGAATGGCCTGTAGTGAAGAAACTTGCTTAGCACTTCTGTGTTCAGCATTTCCCAAACATGTTTGGAAATTAAGGACAGCGGGCACATATTGCCTATGAGCTTCAAGTGTTGATTACACAGACTGAAGAAAAGCCAGGTGACACATGTGTTTGAATACTATGAGGCTTTCACAGTGTACCTGATATTTACCTATGAATCACGTGATTAACCCAAGAGGTTATTTTGTACAGAGGTTATCTATTGGAAATAAAAAATAAAATATTAACAAAGGATAAAAACGTATTACGATATCTTCAATAAACAATTGTAACTATGTAAGAGAGAATGCAAATGCTAGTCGGTACATTTTACATTTCTCTTGCATGCTTTTCCTCCTTACACTAACTTACCACCGGCAGCGTCACCCAAGTTTTCTGAAATTGGGCAGCCTGTGGTTTCCCAACACGGTAAGAAAAGGCCAGGGAACTGAGCTTAAAGTTGGGCAAGGAGGCTGATGAAAAACGTTTTATCATGAGAACCTGAACCGAGTCATGCCTCAGCTTTGAACCCCACTGCTGACCAGCTTCCAGGCACAGAACATCACTCAGGGTCCAGCCTGCCACTCCAGTCTTACCCAGGCACAGCTTCAAAAGTCCCTGCAATCAGACACCTTCCCTCAGGCCAGGCTCGAATGCCACACTTTTGCTTTTCCCAGTTCCCACCCCATTCCCTCACTCAAGTCTATTGCTGCTGTCAAGCTTGATGCCATGACTTTGATCTCCACAGACCTAAGTAAAAGTAGAGAATCCACCCTTGTGAGTCTTCATCTGACCTCCATTTGTGGGCTATTATATGTACCCTTACGCACACATGTGCATGCACACACACACACTCACAGAGAAAGAGAGGGGGCACACAATAAATGAGTATACACAAATTAAACTTATATATGAGTCTAGGTCCATTGTTAGAATGACTAAATGAAGCGATACTTTGTGTGCTAAAATAAACTTGATAAAATAATAAGAAGCAGCCAACTCAGTCCCAGGACACTGGCAGACCAGGGTTGAACCAGCCCTCTGACTCAGAGTCAGTGATCTCCATTGGAACTGGAGTGGGACAGGATCAGCTACCTAGGACAGAGAGCAAACAAGCTCCACCAGGAGCAGAAGCCAGGAACAAATCCAGCCCCAGAAGACAACCCAGTCCTGGGACATGGGCAGATCAGGATTGAGCCAGCAACCAGATCCAGCATCAGCGATCTCCACAACAGGTACAGGAGAGTAACCGCTGAGCGAATAAGCCAGAGCCAGAGACTGCAGAGGATCCAGATGTGAATCTGGGACCTTCAAGGGAGTAGACCTAAGCCGGGACTCAGGTGGGTCTGGGCGTGAGTCTAGGACCTCTCAGGGACTAGGCCCGAGCCAGGACCTCTGCCAGTCTGGATGTGAGTGAATCTCGGATCTTCGAAGGAATAGGCAGGAACCAGAAATTTCAGCAGGACCAGGCATGAGTCTGGGTCCTCAGATGGAGTAGGCCTGAGCCAGGACCTCTGTGGGTGCAGGCATTGGTCTGGGACATCAAAGAGAATAGGGAGGAACCTGGGACCTCTGAGGGAGTAAGCTGGTCCTCTGCAATTCCTGGCTCACCCAAGCCTGAACCTCCGAGGCAGTAGGACCAGAGCTAGAAACCTTTCCAGGTCCAACTCCAACCCAGGAACTTCTGCAGGAGGGGTTCCAGACCAGGATTTAGAGAAACAGGGCAAAGCTGGCAACCTAGGCCAAAGTAGGCCTGAGGCAACAAACCACAAGGGAGCAGAGCAAAGCACAGGAGCACTGAGCTATCTCTGGGAACAGGAGTAACCAACGGGGTAACTAGAACTGTGACACTGACTGTACCATGAGGAAAACCATCTGAGCTTTGGATTCACTGGCACCTAGAAGATTATTCAACAGAATCTGAGACAGCCCCAACAACACCTCTTAGAGGAAAAGATGAGTAGAAAAGGTAAGATCACATACTACAACACAACACCAGTAAAACCTAAAGCCCCTACAACAGCAAGACCTGAACAACCAAATATGGATGAAACAGAAGAAAATAACCTAAAAAATAACTTCAAGAGATGTTTGAAACTCTAAAAGAGGAAATGAGAAATTCACTTAAAGAAATGGAGGAACAAAGAAACAAAAAATTGAAAGACATCAGCAAATCACTTAAAGAAAACCAATAAAGAGAAATCAAACCTATGAAGGAAACTATTCAGGACTTGAAAACGTAATAGAGGCAATAAAGAAAACATATTCTGAGAGAATTATAAAAGCAGAAATCATGAGAAAACAATCAGAAACCACAAACACAAGCATGAACAACAGAATACAAGAGATGGAAGAGAGAATCTCAAGCGCTGAAGATACAATGGAGGAAATAGACTCATCAGTTAAAGAAAACATTAAATCTAACAAGAGTTTAACACAAAATAATCCAGGAAATATGGGACACCATGACAAGGTCAAACGTAAAAATAATAGGTATAGAAGGAGAAGTTCAACTCGAAAGCACAGAAAACATTTAACAAAATCATAGAAGAAAGCTTCCTCAACCTAAGGAAAGATATGTCTATGAAGATTCAAGAAGCTTACAGAACACCAAATAGTCTGGATCCAAATAAAAAGTTCTCTTGTTACATAATAATTAAAACACTAAACATATAGAGTAAAGAAAGAATATTGAGAGCTGCAAAGGAAAAAGGTCAAGTAACATATAAAGGTAGACCTATCAGAATTATACCTGACTTCTCATTGGAGACAATGAAAGCCAGAAGGTCGTGGTCAAGCGGGTCAAGCCTTATACAGACATTAAGAGACCATGGATGCCAGCCCAGACTACTATACCCAGCAAAACTGTCAATCACCATAGAAGGACAAAACAAAATATTCCATGACAAATCTAGATTTCTCCAATCTAGCCACAAATCCAGCCCTACACAAAATACTAGAAGGAAAACTCCAACCCAAGGAAGTTGGCTACACCAACAAAAACACAGACAATTGATGGTCTTATAGCAGCAAATCCCAAATGAAGGGGAAAATGTACAAATTAAAATCACCAACAATGGAAACTATATTAACAAAAGATAGCAATCACTGGTCATTAATATCCCTTAATGAAAATGTACTCAACTCACCAATAAAAAGGCACAGGCTAACAGATTGGATACGAAAACAGAATCCAACCTTCTTCTGCATACAAGAAACACATCTCAAACTCAAAGACAGACATTGTCTCAGAGTAAAGGGTTGGGAACAAATATACCAATCAAATGGACCTAAGAAATAAGCAGATGTAGCTATCCTAATATCTAGCAAAATATACTTCAAGCTAAAATCAGTCAAAAGAGACAAAGAAGGTCATTTCATATTAGTTACATCAAGAGGAAATTTCAATACTGAATATCTATGCCCCAAATACAAGGGCACCCTCATATGTCAAAGAAACACTTCTAAAGCTTAAATCATACATTAAACTCCACACACTAATAGTGAGAGACTTCAACACTCCCCTCTCACCACTGGACAGGGCAGTCAGACAAAAAATGAACAGAGAAATAAAAGAACTAACAGATGTTATAACT